AAAGAATAAGAAATATACTTTTAAAAATTGCAAGGTAAAAGTAACAGAGGCTGCGAAATCTGTACTAGATCTATTTTCAGCTGTCAGACACCCACATAAACATATACTTTAGTAATTTATAAAAAAATACTACAATGTATTTTAACCATACTGACACTGATCCCTCCAACAGACATAGAGATGTTGCAAAATCAGCTAAAATGTTGCTAGAATTGGTATTTATGTAAAGACGATATATATTGCATCACCAAAAATGATTGAGGTAATTTCTTCTGGAAAAAGTCTTATTTGTTTTATTTTGGCTATAATAAAAGCCGTATTTAATTTGTTATGAACCATTTTAAGATCAAAATTATTAGCCCCTTTAAGCAAATTTTTTATCGACAGTCTACAGAACAAACCATTGTTATACAATAACTTGCCTAATTACCTTAACCTGCCTAGTTAACCTGATTAACCATGTTAAGCCTTTAAATGTCACTTTAAGCTGTATAGAAGTGTCTTGAAAAAATATCTATAATAAATCAAATAAATCAGTTATTAGAAATGAGTTATTAAAACTATGATGTTTAGAAATGTGTTGAAAAAAATCTTCTCTCCGTTAAACAGAAATACAGAAATTGGGAAAAAAAAAATAACAGGAGGCCTAATAATTCTAAATTCAACTGTATATATATATATATATATATATATATATATATATATATATATATATATATATATATATATATATATATATATATATATATATATATATATACACATATATATATTAGGGGTGTCAAAATTAATTATTTCTTCTGTGCACCGCGATGCAGACGCGGACAATTCGGTATCAATTTAGTAATTATCATAACCGGTTATTATGTACTGACGTCATTTATCTCCTATGCTCTCTGTCGCGAGGGAGGTGAGCGCCGGTATTTACAACACTCAGCCAACTCAGGGCCGGCCCGTGGCATAGGCACCATGGGCAAAAGCTAAGGGTGCTGTATATCCAGTGGGGCGCCAGAAATGAGCGAGCTTCAGTTGGTTTTGTTTTCGATTTTCCGGACACACATTCAGTTATAGACGGCAATAACTCAAAAACCTCTCACCCTAAAAAGATCTAAAGTGTGTTTCCTACAGAAAGACAAAGCTGGTTATGTTTCACAGCTGTCTTTCTTTTTTTCGCTCGACATTACGAGCATTGCTCTGTTTAAGCCCTCGCAGTCTGCGTTTACTTTAGTCGGCAGAGCTCGCGCTGAGAGGAGCTCTCAGTAAGGGACCGTCGGAAAAGTGCTTATATTTTTCGTTTTTTTTTTCGTTTTTCTGCTCTGCTCAGCGCGAGCTCTCCCTGTTGCAAGGTCTTAAGTGTGTGTGTTTGTGTGTGTGCGTGTGGTTGTTTGTTTGTTTGATACCGTCTATGTTTGTGAATGTGTTTGAATGAGAGACAGTGTGGTGCTGTGTGTCTGTGTGTTTATACAGACAGCATGTTATAGCCTCCCCCCTAAAATATAACACTGTATATGGAAAGCATCGTCAATGCACCGTGATGCACCGAGATATCGAATTGAACCGAATCGATGGCATGATAATTGTAACCGAACCGAACCGTGAGACCAGTGTAGGTTCACACCTCTAATATATATATATATATATATATATATATATATATATATATATATATATATATATATATATATATATATATATATATATATATATATATATATATATATATATATATATATATATATATATATGTATATATACACACACACACACACACACACACACACACACACACACACACACACACACACGCATACATACAGTATATACAAAACTAAATGCAATTGAAAATTTTGAAATTTTGTATTTTCATTTAACTTTAACTTTACTTCATTAAACTCAAAGGTATGATAATATTATGTATGTCTATTATGTGCCGTACATTTCAGTCTCTTATAGTATTATTTAAAGTTATTTTAAATTACATAAAAGAGCCCTTTTTCAGCCAATGTCATGAGTTACATGTACAGTTGATCGAGACTGATCTCACAGAGCAAAGCAACAAACTGCATTTTTTTCTAATTAAGCTGCCAACACCCAAAACATGGGTGCTTTTGCAAGGTGACAATCTCGAAACTCGAAGCATTACATGAAAATCTTCTAAGTCTTCAAACTGAAGTGAAGATTCAACTTTAACAAGTCTTTTTATTAACTTTAAACACCTAAGATTACTTTTATTGTCAACATTTTCCTTTCTTACATTAATCCCACACAAAGCATGATGGGAACTACAAATCCCCTAACCAGGTTGTTGGACCAGTAGACTGAAATGTAACAAATAAATCGGCCAAAGAAATTACAAGAATTGTGTTGTTTCAGTTCATTTTAAACAGGTAGTTTGAACAAGCAGCAGTCTTTTTTTTTATTTTAAGCCTATTAAATATTTTTATTATAACCTATGCATAAATGTGTTATCATAAATTATATATTTTATTTTAGTTGGTTTATACATTCATTCTTGCCCATTCAAATGTTTAACCAGTTTGTTTGGTAGAAAGTTGTAACAGTTAGTACATACTGTAAAGTACAAAAATAAAAATAAAAATCAATTAAATTCAATTTAATTCAGTTCATTTTCTTTTCGGCTTAGTCCCTTTATTAATGTGGGGTAGCCACGGCGGAATGAACCCCCAATTTATCCAGCATGTTTTTATGCAGTGAATGCCCTTCCAGCTGCAACCCATCACTGGGAAACATCCACACTTATTCACACACACAAATTCACCTTTATCGCATGTCTTTGGACTTGCGGAGTGCCCGGAGAAAACACAGAAATGTCAACTGACTCAATCAGTGACCTTCTTGCTGTGAGGCAAGAGCACTACCTACTGAGCCACCACGTCACCTTAATTTAATTTAATTAATTTTTAATAATATTTATTTATTTATTTTTTAAAGGTATATTTTGTGTTTTTATACCTAATCCAGCTAAATATTCTCTTTATCAGTAACACTATACATGCAAATACAATCGATCAATCAATTAATCAATTATCTGTTCAATCGGGTTCGATTTTTAGTCATTCTATGGATTATTCCACTCCACACAGTTCTGTCAATCTTCTTTGAGTTTGTGCATGCTCATGTTGGTATCATATTTGACTGTATCAAACCAACAAGTTCTTGGGAGGCCTTCCACTGACCATTTCCAGCACGAATGCCTTCTCTGATGAATTGCTATGCATGACATGGCCAAAATAGGATAATTTCTGTTTTGTAATCTTGGCTTTTTCCCAGTGATGGGTTGCAGCTAAAAGGGCATCCACTGCATAAAAAACAAATGCTGGACAAATTGGCAGTTAATTCCTCTGTGGCGACACCAGATTAATAAAGTGACTAAGCTGAAAAGAAAATGAATGAATGAATAATATTGGCTTCACATGCAAACACACTTGTTTATAATTAAATACATTTTAAAGAAGTATAATTAGTTAAAAATACTGGTCATTCAACTATGTAAACTTACTGAAGTTCTCCTATTTTGCGACTTTATTTGAATCCCAATATCTTTTGCTGGTTATTCAATTTCAATCACAAGCCAATCTGCAGGGTGTGGCAAATTCAGTTTAGAATGAGGAACATGAATGAACGTCAGTTGTGAAATACTACAGTACATTTTGCCCAGCCCTACTGATGAGTCCGTCACAGCAATGTGATTTAAAATGTACAAAATGTGAGAAATTTATTAGAATAATAGCAACTGTTAAAATCTATTCTTATATACTTATTCTTATTTGCATAATCCTTTATAGTAACACAATATTTAAAGCCAATTTATAACCACTTCCTTGTTACTGGTGTTTTTTGACGCCTATCCAAAGTATGTCATTTTCTAGGAATTAATTAATCGTTTTCTCTCTCTCTCTTGCACTTTCTCTCTCTCTCTCTCCTCCCTCTCTCTCTCATTCTTCTCTAGGGTTGTTGACAAGTTGACAGGCCACAGTTTTGAGAATCACTCTTAATTTTAAACCCAGAAATGGGTCCTTAATGCCCTTTTTTTGTAATGAGAAAGAAACCATTTTTCATGCTTTTGTCAAATGTGTTAGGCTGGGTCCCTTTTTTACATATTGTTACGTATTATAAAGTATTTTTCACAAGTTGTTGTGAGACTTTTCCCTTGGAAATGTTTATCCTTGGTTTTATGTAAAGAAAAAGATATTTCTTTGTCAATTGTTTGATTTTGTACACAACGTAGAGCGTAATGTAGCGGTTTTATTTCAAGTATGGTACAGGAAAGGGTTTTGACTGATTTTAATTACTAAAAGCAAATGGATGATTAGGACACTTTTGAAAACATTTGGTGCTTTGTGCTGTATGTATGAGAAGAATGTTGCTTTTACTTTTATTTGAAATGCATATGGTCTTATACAACTTGAAATGAATTATTTATAGTTGTATTGCATTGGGTTCAGTGCATGAGGAAAGCCAAGAGAATTATCAGCGACTCCAGCCACCCAAGCCATAGACTTTTCTCTCTGCTACTCTCAGGCAGACGGTTCCGCAGCATCCGGTCACGCACTAGCCGGCTGAAAGAGAAGCTTCTTCCCTCAGACTATCAGGCTGATGAACACTTAACATACTCCTCACTGCACACCATCAATATGTAGCATGCACTACACTTTAACCAATCCATACTTGAAACAATATTGCGTACAACTATGTGGACACCTATTCATTGTACAAATCACTGTCAATTTTACATTGTCCTGTTTTTTTTGGGGGGAGTATGCTGTTGTATTTGCACTGTCTGTTTTGGTACTGTCTGGAGCCAGTACCTAAGCTTTTCACTCATCATAGCACACGTGCTGCCAATGATGTGACAATAAAAGTGATGTGATTGATTTTTGATTTGATATGATTTGATGTAATGAAGTTTTGTAAAATTCAAATTCTCTCTCTTTCTCTCTCTCTCTCGCTCTCTTTCTCTCTCTCTTATTCTTCTCTAGGGCTGTTGACAAGTTGACAGGCCACAGTTTTTGAGAATCACTCCTTCAGTGTGTCGTACATACTGGACAAGGAGGCAGGAAGGGACGGGGCTGGAAGACCCCAGGTCCCGCGAGGGGCATCTAAAATGGTGACAGGAAGTCGGGAGCAAGAGTTTGGTCAACCAGGGGCCATGGGAGGCCCCCAGGGGCCCAGGCAGCGTCAGCAAGAGCTGCCTCTAAGAATCCTAGTACCTACTCAGTTTGTGGGAGCCATCATTGGAAAAGAGGGGCTCACTATAAAGAACATTACCAAGCAAACACAGTCCAAGTAAGAAAGTATTTCGAATCAGTTTGTTTTATTTGTTTATTTAAATATTTAGATATTGATCATGTATTATAGTTTAATGACTGGGAACATTTTACATTTACACTTGACACATTTTTTTCTGTTTAGTTGAAAAAAAAGTAGGAAGCAGAACTTTTGTTAGAGTCAGCATTTGAGCTCATTCATTCATTTTCCTTCGGCTTACACTCTATTTCAAAGGTCGCCACAGAGGAATAAACCGCCAACTATTCTGTCATATGTTTCACGTAGCAAATGCTCTTCCAGCTACAACCAAGTACTGGAAAACACCCATATACTTTATCATTCACACACACACACACACACACACACACACGCACGCACGCACGCACGCACGCACGCACGCACGCACGCACACACACACACACACACACACAAACACACACACACATACACACACACACTTAAACACTAAGGTCAATTTAGTTTATTCAGTTCACCTTTAGCGCATGTCTTTGGACTCTGGGGCAAACTGAGAGACAAAGAGAAAACCCATATGAACATAGGGAGAACATGCAAATTCCCCCAAAAATTGCCAATCAGCCCAGCCAGGATTCGAACCTGCGTCCTTTTTGCTGTGAGGTGACAGTGCTAACCAATGAGCAACCATGCTGCCCACTTGAGCTCATATTATCTTTATTTAACCATTATTTTACTAGTTAAATGGTTGCACTGTCATATTTGCATAATCTGACTATTTCAGGAACATTTAATGTCACAAACCTAATAGTATAAAACGTGTAACTTGTATAAAAGCATAGGTACTATGTGCATGACGGCCCATACTGTACATACAAATAATTTAATCTGTTTGTATTATATGCAGAATGCATGATTGCCAGTGTACAGAGATTTGGCAAATTAGTGAATATACTGTTGGTTACATAGAAAAAATTATAAGGCATTAGACATCATTAGAAAACACCATAGATTGCATTTATACTGCATATAGTTTAACCAGTGGAATATAATAATCATATTTGTTGTGCAAACATCTGCAAATATTTGCATTCGAAAACGGGTACAAACGTTAAGCAATGTTTAAATTGAGTTATCGTGTGTTCAAATAAAACTATATGTAACACAAAGCAATGGAAATAAATCACCTGTAGATGACCTGTTTCACCTGTTTAACTACTTCATTATCCTAACAATGCTGCTTGACATTCTCAATGAAAAATTCGGCGACGCCGTGGCGCAGTAGGTAGTGCTGTCACCTCACAGCAAGAAGGTCGCTGGGTTGCTGGTACAAACCTCGGCTCGGCTCAGTTGCCGTTTCTGCGGGTTTCCTCCAGGTGCTCCGGTTTTTCCTACAGTCCAAAGACATGTGGTACAGGTGAATTGGGTAGGCTAAATTGTCCGTTGTGTATAAGTGTGTGTATGAATGAGTGTGTGGATGTTCCCCAAAGATGGGTTGCGGCTGGAAGGGGATCCGCTGCATAAAAACATGCTGGATAAGTTGGCGGTTAATTCCGCTGTGCCGACCCCAGATTAATAAAGGGACTAAACCGACAAGAAAATGAATGAATGTACAGGAATTTCATGATGGGTGCTAAATGTATAGCGTGGTATTAATGTTTTCTGACACCTAACTCTTCAGTCACATTATTCTTCAAAATTGTGGTGTCATTCTTTCCTCTATCTCAGGGTAGATATCCATCGTAAAGAGAATGCTGGGGCGACTGAGAAGGCCATCACTATTCACTCCTCTAAAGAGGGCTGTTCACAAGCCTGCAGGATGATTTTGGAAATCATGGAAAAAGAGGCCAATGACACTAAGATGTCAGTAACTTTACACTTTATAAATACATTTCCTGATAGTAAACTCACATTTATAGGCCATCCAAAATCTAGCTGAATTATTATTTTTAGTACAACATTGAAGAAGAGTTTCAGCTGAAACCATGGTCCAAATAATGTTGAAATGACTCATCATTTCACTTCAGTGTTTGAGTATCTTGCGTTCCCTAAAGAGTGTGATTTTTTAAACTCTCAAACTGCCATTGACTTCCATTTTATGAATAACAAATGACTATGGTTTCAGATATTGAAACCTTTTTTTAACTGTTGTACTGAAGGAAAATATAACTTACATCTTGGATGGCATTAGGAGGGGTGTGCAATCATGTGCTGCTTTTTGGTCGTGGCAGATTTAATTGTCTCCACAATCTGATTTTGAAAAAATATTGTAGTTTTGTGCTACAATGCCTGTTGTATATGTTGCTAGAACCCTCTGTCTTAATAAACTGTACAACCTGACATACATTGACATATATTAACTCAGTAGTACCATTAAACTCACACGATAGTAAATTTTTTCATGAAGACAGAAATATTTAAATTTCATGTGCTGTAAGACCCTGTGTGACAATATGTGCAGGTCTTAAAATGACAGCAGATTAATAGACTTAACATGCTGCCACTTGCCATTAAAAGATAATTTGTCTCAAAAATTGTAATTCTGTCAATTTTTGCTTACTCTGATTATGTTCAAAAAATGTTATAGTTTATTTCTTGTGCTGAACACAATGGTAGATATCCTAGATAAAGAATGTGGGTGACCAAACAGTGAATGAGGACCAGCAAGTATTGGGTTGCCCACATTCTTTGAAATCTTTTGTTTTTTACAAGAGAAAGGATCTCTTTCAAGTTTAAAACAAGTTCAGAGTAAGTAAATATTGACAGAATTTGAATTTTGGGTCAACTATCCCTTTAAAATTAATGAAACAACAATTTAATTTCAATTTCTTCATTCAATTCAATTCAATTCTTAAACTCTGCTTCTAAATACACCTACTGTAACTTAAAAAATATAGAACATAGTTTGTTTTATTGGTATTATGTGTATATGTAATGTGAATCTTTGTTCCGTGTTTTATCTTTGTCATTCTTACCATTCTTTATTAATTTAATATTTAATTGCCTTGTGATTTTTGTTTTTAAAAGAAGAAATTAGATTGGCTATACTGCTCTGACAACTTTCAGATTAGTCAAACCAACATCACAAATCATGATAAAATGGTGAATCAATACTTTCCTAGATTTTTTCAATATCGCCCACCTCTGAGTATACTAAAAGCAGTTATCCTTCTAAAAGCATGTGCTTATGTGCAAGATCATCAACTTCATGTCGTTTTAAGTTAAGTGCACGTTTTTCTCAGTGTTGAGGAAGTTCCTTTGAAGATCTTGGCCCACAACAGTCTTGTTGGCAGACTCATAGGGAAGGAGGGCAGGAACCTGAAAAAGATAGAGCAAGATACTGGGACCAAGATCACCATCTCTGCGTAAGTGTGGTATTCGTAAATTAATGGTGCTAAGATTTTGTTTAAAATTTTTAATAGGAACTGGAATCAATTACTGAATTTATTGAATGTTCACCTCAATTGATAATTGTCATTTCCTTCATTTGTTGCAGATTACAAGACCTGACCGTTTATAACCAGGAACGTACCATCTCGGTGAGAGGAGGGGTAGAAGAGTGCTGTAAAGCAGAAGGGGAGATCATGAAGAAACTTAGAGAAGCCCATGAGAATGATGTAGCTTCGGTTAATGTGAGTATATCATAACTTTAGAGTTAATTTTTCATCTACATTTCGATCAAAATGCTATGAGCAAAAGCGCAGCAAAATTTGTTGTCAAAGTTTACACTTGCTTTATTATATGATGAACAGATGTATTAAAAAGTAGCTATTGAAGTTTACACTTTAGTTACCATCATATTTTTGCTTTCACAATTTATCCGAATCATGAATTGTAACTTATGCTACAAGAGGCCTGATAAACATCAGACACATTCCTTTACATTTTAACTGGAACAGGTTTAACAGTGCCAGAGAATGGCTTTAATCCTGTTTCTTTAATCCTAGTAAAGCAAAACTTGTTTTGCCTGGACAGATAATCTGGCAGAATGGCATTAATTCAGTACAACAGTTCAATCATTTAATTTGCTGATTTGGTAACTGTTTGATTCACAGTTGATTGTCGATCAAACCTGTAAAACTGGAAAAGACTTATTCATTTTAGTCTCTCAATTGCATTTGCAGACTCACTTGTACTCTATTATTGACATGTCTCTGTCTATCTGATTTTAGCAGCAGACTAACATGATGGCTGGCCTAAATCTGAGTGCGCTGGGGATCTTCTCCTCTGGCATGTCTGTTCTCCCTCCTGCCTCAGGGCTGCGTGGATCTCTGTCCACCCCTGCCAACTACAGCCCTCTGCTGGTGAGTATCAGCACGTGCAGCCTGGCCACAAGCTGCTGCATTGGGACACTGAGATGTGAATGACTGGACAAAAGAATGTTTGTGTATCATGTGTGTAAATTTGCATTTAAACATAAAGGGGACCTATTATGCAAAAATACGTTTTATAAGGGGTTTAAACCCAGCTGTGCGGCAACATTGTGTGAATATAGCCAGCCTTTAATAGAAAAATTTTCTTAATTCTATTTTTTTATAATCACCTTTTATTCCACCCATTGGTCAAAACGCTCCCACATTAGCATAGACTGCCCTAAGTAAGAAGCAGCTGTCCGCCATTAGAGTTTTCACACTGTACCTGCTGAAGATAATGTCAGTGCATAATCTCCATTCCTACCTTTTTCTGAACCTTCTTCTTTTAAGTTTCAGTTTTTCAAAGAGATAACGTTAGTCCTGTTTTGAATCTGCCGCTATGGTGATGCATAGGAATTTGTAGCTTCACCCCTTTTTTTAACAGGGCTTGAGCACAATCTCATTGAATTTAAAGTGACAGTCACCAAGATGGCACAATTTGGATCAAAGAGTTTTCAAATTTTTTCAAAGAGTTATAATAAAATTGTGTGCTTTTTTGAGCTGTAATTTCACATACAGACTCTGGAGATATCAGAGACTTGTTTTCCATCTTGTAAATGGGGTATAAGAGGTCCACTTTAAGATGAGAGACTGCAGGAATAAAAACTGTATTTTATTTTTTTTTTGAGGTTTTTGGGATTCTCTAGGGTTAACAGAGAATGGTCTGAAAAAGAGGAAATATCTAGTGGGCGCAAATGCCTTGTTGATGCCCAAGGTCAGGGGAAAATGGTCAGACTGGTTTGAGTTGAAAGAATTGCAACAGTATTTAAAACAACCACTTTTTACAACCGATCTATGCAGAAGAGCATCTCTGAACGCATCTCATGTCCTACCTTAAGACCAAACAGGGTGCCACTCCTGGCAGCTAAGAACAGGCAACTGAGGCTACAATTCACACAGGCTCACCAAAATTAGACAATAGAAGATTGAAAAAATGTTGCCTGGTATGAGTCTCGATTTCTGCTGCGACATTCAGATGGTAGGGTAAGAATTTGGCGTCAACACCATGAAAGCATGGATCCATCCTGCCTTGTATTAATGGTTCAGGCTGCTGGTGGTGATGCTGTAATGGTGTGGAGGATATTTTCGTGGCACACTTTGGGCTCATTAATACCAATTGAGGATTGTGTTAATGCCACAGCCTACCTGAGTATTGTTGCTGACCATGTCCATCCCTTTATGACTACAGGGTACCCATCTTCTGATAGCTACTTTCAGCAGGGTAGCAGGTGGATCATCTTAGACTGGTTTCTTTAAGATGACAATGAGTTCATTGTACTCAAATGGCCTCCACAATCACCAGATCGTAATCCAATAGAGCACCTTTGGGTTATGGTGAAGCAGGTGATTTGCATCATGGATGTGCAGATCTGCAGCAACTGTGTGATGCTTTCATGTCAGTATGGATCAAAATCTCTGAGGAATAGTTCTAGTACCTTGTTAAATCCATGCCATGAAGGATTAAGGCAGTTTTGAAGGCCAAAGGTGGTCCAACCTGGCACTAGTAAAGTGTACCTAACAAAGTGACCAGCGAATGTAGACTAATATTTGTTTTAATGGCACTTTTTAAATTTGTGTGTAGATTTCTATAGCAAAACATAGTTAACATTAAAGTCTGTTAAAATCTTTTAAAAAATAATAATTAAGCTATAATTTTCAAACTTTTCAAATGCCAAAGTTACACCCAACTTTTAATTTTATTCACATCTACATTCTGAAGGTTTTAGAGAGGGATATGTTCATGCATCATTTATTTGATTAATTAAATAAATTATTATGAATAAGTATTCATGGATGTTAGCAGTATTATTATGAATTATGGATTGATAAATAGAGATACTTAAATTCCTTTCTGATAAAATATTTTCACTCTAATTTGTAAAAAAAAGAAACAAGAATATTGAACCTGACTTTATTCAATGTTCAGATTGTTGTTTTCGAAATGTATAACAATTTTATGACAAAATCATCCTTATCATCTGCAGTGTCCTGCCTTAATTATTTATCTGTTTATTTTTAAATGCGTTTAAGATATATTTTCACATTTAGCTCATCAAATCCTATGTGTGTATGTTTGCCATCACAGGGACCCTCAATAATGGGAGGTCTATATGGGGTTCCTTCTTCTGGAGCTTTATCTCTTCAGCAAGCAGTGAGTACTTGTTATTATTTCATTTAATTTTCTACTCTGCATAATTCTGTTTATTGTCACATAGTCTCATACTCGAGTAAAACATTTTAAATTGATGTGTGTGTGGGATAGTTCACCCAATAAAGAAAACTCTGTAATCATTTACTCACCTTTTTACCTTGTTTCAAATCTTTCTGAGTTTCTTTCATTGTTTTTTATTCATATTTTCATATTTTAACAAGTTCTGTAAACAACATATTACACATTTAACATATTACACATACACACATTTACCCAGTGTTATACAAAATATATAATGCAAACTAATGTGTTTTATTAAAATATTTTATGTTATTGGATTATGAATAAGTATAAATATTTCAATTTATTTTATTAATAAGTAAATAAATAAATAAAAGCATGTTAATTCAAAGTTGTTACCTAATTTTAACACATTTTTATTTATATTTTAATTATTAAGTCTTTAACTTTGTACTTTATGATCCATGGGGGTCAAACAATAGTTTGTGTGTCTATTTTCAATGCATTTATTACTGTGCATTCAGTTTTTGCATTCAAGATTTTTTTTTAAAACCTACCAGAGGATATAGTGTTTATGTGTGTATTGAGTCAAATTTTATTAAGTGTGAAGATTTTGAGGCCTTTTGGGTTGATTCTTTAATTTAGTCATTTTTCAGTTTCCCACTTGAATCTGTTCAAGTGAAGTGAATATCTGTTCATCTGTTCACTCTCTCTTGCTTTTGTCAACATATCTAAGTAGGGTAATGCTGTAAAGTTGATTTGCAGCTATTTTATAAGCACTGTATGAATAAATGTATCTTGGCAAGTAAGATTACTTACTTTTTGTTTATGTGCGTGTGTGTGTGTGTGTGTGTGTGTGTGTGTGTGTGTGTGTGTGTGTGTGTGTGTGTGTGTGTGTGTGTGTGTGTCAGGGTGGTGAACAGGAAGTGGTTTATCTCTTTATCCCCACTCCGGCAGTTGGAGCTCTCATTGGGAAGAAAGGGCAGCACATTAAAGAGCTGGCACACTTCGCTGGAGCCTCAATAAAGGTGAGACACTTACAGACACACGCTGATTCCCACTGCAGTTCACTTCACTCTCAGTGCCAACATTAACCAGCTTTAAATGGGGCTTGAATGAGAGAATGAATTGGAGCAGATTGTGTGTTAAGGCTTTTTACTTAATTTAGTTTTCTCTAAAGGGTATTGTCACTTAATAAAACTGTTACTTTTTTATTTGGTAAATGGTATTTAGTCAATGGTTGTGGTTTTGTTTAAATCAGGGGTGGCCAAACTTTTTCTTATGGAGCCCCAAAAAACAAAAATAATTGAGGGCTGTGGGCTAAAGGTAAATATATCAAATTGTATTACATTTGCTAAGGTAATTTTCTATCTAATTTTTTAAATGATATTTAAAAATAAATATAAATCATTACTTTAATTGAATTAGGCAAAATAGTTAATGTCATAATTAATTTATTAAAATGAAAACAAACAATTCCATTTATAACACAACGGAGTTCAATGCCCATTTAAATGATAATAAAAACATTTCATTAAAACTTTAATTCAAGCTTGCTTTTTTTTTTTTTTTTTGGAGTTCAATAATAAAACAAACAAAAGATTAAAGGACTCCTATGATGAAAATAAACCATTGTTAGCTGTTTGGAAAGAACTGTTTATGTATAGTGTGTTCACTGTCATATTGGAGTAAAATGAATCTTTTGAAAAATGAAAGTCTTTTTTTTTTTTTTTGTTACATTTTCTGACATTAAAATAGGACCCTAATCCCAGTGATTGACTGATAGGCACCATGTTTCTGTAATAACATGTATAAACATGAACATGGAACATTTTGCAAATAAACTCGGATTAAAATAAACTCTTTCAAGTTTAAAACGTTTTTAAAACAGAGCATGTTTGTAATTGCACGAAGCATGTCGAATTGCACGGAAAAAAATCTGTAAAACTGCGAGACCGCGAAAAGTGAACCGCATTATATCAAGGGAAATTTGAAACAACTAAAACAATTTGAAATAAAGAGTATATGGGTAATCTTTATTATCATAATATAAATTATAATATGTAATGTAATGTAATTTGTATTTATATAGTGCATTTACCATGAATGGTCATTCATCCAAATTGCTTCACAATCAATTAGGGGCGTCTCTCCACACAACTACTAGTGTGCAGCATCCACTTGGATGGTGCGACGGCAGCCAAAGGAGAGCGGCGCCAGTGCACTCACCACACACCAGCTATTGGTGGAGTGGAGAGACAGTAATAGAGCCAGTTTGGTGGATGGGGATGATTAAGACACCATGATTGTAAGGGCTGATTAAGGGACTTTTGGCCAAGACACCAGGGTTACACCTCTACTTTTTTACAAGAAGTGCCATGGGATTTTTATAATATAATATAATATAATATAATATAATATAATATAATATAATATAATATAATATAATATAATATAATATAATATAATATAATATAATATAATATAATATAATAAAATAAATAATAATATAATAAAATACAATGTAAGGTGACACGTCGCCTCCCCTCATTAATACGCCACAGCGGAATTAACCGCCAACTTATCCAGCACGTTTTTATGCAGCGGATACCCTTCCAGCCGCAACCCATCTCTGGGAAACATCCACACACACTCATTCACACACACACTCATACACTACAGAAAGTTTAGCCTACCCAATTTACCTGTACCGCATGTCTTTGGACTGTGGGGGAAACCGGAGCACCCGGAGGAAACCAAAGCGAACACTGCGAGAACATACAAACTCCACACAAAAAACGGCAACTGACCCAGCGACCTTTCTGCTGTGAGGTAACAGCACTTCCTACTGCGCCACTATGTTGCCACTCTATTATATTATATTATATTATATTATATTATATTATATTATATTATATTATATTATATTATATTATATTATATTATATTATATTATTTTATATTATATTATGTTATATTATATTATATTATATTATATTATATTATATTATATTATTTTATATTATATTATATTATATTATATGCTGGATAAGTTGGCGGTTCATTCTGCTGTGGCGACCCCAGAATAATATAGGGTCTAAGCCAAAAATGAATTAGTAATATAATATAATATAATATTCATTCATTCATCTTCTGCCGCTTTTCCGGGGCCGGGTCACGGGGGCAGCAGTCTTAGGAGAGAACCCCAGACTTCCCTCTCCCCAGACACTTCCTCCAGCTCCTTCGAAGGAATCATGAGGCGTTCCCTGGTCAGCCGAGAGACATAGTCCCTTCAGCAAGTCCTGGGTCTTCCCCGAGGCCTCCTCCCAGTGGGACATGCCTGGAACACCTCCCTAGGTAGGCGTCCAGGAGGCATCCGAAACAGATGCCCGAGCCACCTCAGCTGACTTCTCTCGATGTGGACGAGCAGCGACTCTACTTGGAGCTCCTCCTGGGTGTCAGAGCTCCTCACCCTATCCATAAGAGTGCGCTCTGCCACCCTACAAAGGAAATTCATTTCGGCTGCTTGTATCCGAGATTTTGTCCTTTCGGTCATGATAAAAAGCTCATGACCATAGGTGAAAGTAGGAACGTAGATTGATCGGTAAATCGAGAGCTTTGCCTTTTGGCTCAGCTCCTTCTTCACCACTTCTGACCGGTACATCGACCGCATTACTGCTGCTGCTGCACCAATCCTCCTGTCAATCTCACGTTCCATCCTTCCCTCACTCGTGAACAAAATCCCGAGATACTTAAACTCCACCTGAGGTAAGAACTTTCCTCCAACCTGGAGATGGCAAATCACCTTTTTCCGGTGGAGCACCATGGCCTCGGACTTGAAGGTGCTGACTCTCATCCCAGCCGCGTCACACTCGGCAGCAAACTGCCCCAGTGCATGCTGAAGGTCCATGTCTGATGAAGCCAACAGAACAACATCGTCTGTGAATAACAGAGATGAAATCCTGTGCTCCCCGAACCAGACCATCTTAGCCTAAGGCTGCGCCTTGAAATTCTGTCCATAAAAATTTTGAATAAAATTGATGACAAGCGGCAGCGTTGCCGGAGTCCAACATGCACTGGAAACAAATCTGACTTATTGCTGGCAGTGCGAACTAGACTCTTACTGTTCATACAGGGACGAGACGGCCCTCAAAAGATCGCCTCTGACCCCATACCCCATAGCGGCAAAAAATGCCAAACTGAGTTCTGTGGCATTTGGCAGTTACTAGAGCACAGCCACAAAATATGGTTAAAAAATGAAATACTTTCTGGAAAATTATTCATATTTACATGGGTAAAGTGGCTCTACAGTCTAGACCAGGTGTGGGCAAACTTGATCTTGGAGGGCCAGTGTCCTGCATAGTTTAGCTCCAATCCTATTCAAACATACCTCCTTATAGAGTTCAAGTGATCTTGAAGACACTTATTGGTTTGTTCAGGTGTGTTTGACTACTGTTGGAACAAAACTCTGCAGGGACACCGGCCCTCGAGGATCAAGTTTGCCCATCCCTGGTCTAGACAGTCAGTTGTAATTCAATGATTTGATGCAATAATACAACCCATCGTTTAAAGGCTGCAATCACAGTGCTGCAGAGCCCAGCTGAAATATAGAAGTAAACATAGAAATAGCAGTTGAGATTCTTTTTTATTGCTACCTAAATGCTTAAATAAGACTAAATAGAAAAAAATCTTTGTTTTGTGCTTCTTTAGATTGCTGCACCAGAGAGCCCTGATGAACCCGAGAGGATGGTCATTATCACTGGACCACCAGAAGCTCAGTTCAAGGTAAAAGATGCAATTTGATTGCTTACACTCCCAGTCGTAAAAATAGATTCTATTAGGCATGTTTCACATCCACCTGTATATTTGTTCTTCGTTTATCTTGTTTGTATATGTGTGTGGTTGTAGGCACAGGGGAGGATATATGGGAAGCTGAAAGAAGAGAATTTTTTCACAGCTAAAGAAGAGGTGAAGTTGGAGGCGCATATAAAGGTGCCATCAACTGCTGCAGGACGAGTCATTGGGAAGGGGGGCAAAACGGTAGGTGTGCTTGTTTGGTCAACTTGATTTTCTCATCAAGGGACTGAACATTACTAATTGTATTCTTCTTTTGTTCTTCTTTTTAAGGAAAGTATGTGAAATACAGTGCTCATCATATATGAGTACACCCCTCACTAATCTCTCATTTAAATTAATATTTTCTATAGGAAGCTATATTATATTTGTGCATATACATTCGTTTAGTCAGTACTGAAGCCAAATCTGGAGCTTATCTAACAAAATAACTTACAATAATGGTTCAAAAATTAGTAGCCCAATTTTATATTTTAGGGAAAATAGTAAATAACATTTTCAAAATAGCAAACATTAAAAGAAACAAAGTACATATAAAATTATGTTAAATTGTTGTAGTTTTTTTTTTTTTTGACTTTTTTTTTCAGTTTGGTGACTGAATTATTATTTTACTAAATAAATCTGTTCAACAAATCTGCAATGTGCAAATGCACCAATATACATTACCCATATTCACTGAGAAATTGATAAAATATTATTTTTCAAAATGGGATGTACTCATTTATGCTGAGCACTGAATGTGTTTTTTACTTTTTTGTGTTGTTTAAGAGTAAGATTGTTACTTTTAAAAGTAACTACACCCAACATCAATTACTGAATAACATTGTGTGTTAAGAAACAGTAAAACATACACACAGAGTAGGCAATAAAGTAATGAAAATTGCATAAAAACATTAACGTTAAGATTAATATTAACTTAAAATAAAAACAGAAACCAATAATTCATATTTTGCTCTTTCATCTTGTGATGAATAATGGCACCTCTTTAAAGGGATAGTTAAAACAAGAATGAAAATTCTGTAACAGAGTCTGTGTGTTTGACCTCTGACCTCCTACCACCCACAGGTCAATGAGCTGCAGAATCTCACCAGCGCCGAGGTCATTGTACCACGGGACCAGACACCAGATGAGAACGATGATGTATTTGTCAAAATAATTGGACATTTCTTTGCCAGTCAGGTATAGTTTTGACAATCTCCCAGGTCTTAAACCTTTTACTTTTTTGTTGTTTAAAAGACTGGTGTCAAGCCATGCTAAAATCATGAAGACGTCATTACAATAAATCAAATCAAAATTAATAACTTAAAATTGATTTTTATTCCAAGGTTTTTTGATTAGACAATAAAAAGTTATTTTATGATTTTATTTACATACAAACATGAATTAATGCCCAAAGGAGTAACCCAAGAAGGGAAATCATACTAATTGGGAACTACTGTAACTACCTTAAACTATTTGAGTGTAAGTAACACAAGAGTAGTGAATCTATTGTTTAAAGAAATACATTGGAAAAAAACAGCCACAGTATAAGAACTAAAATATTATGGAATTCAACGACTGCTGTTTTCCCAACATGCTTCAGTATTTCTTTCTTTGTGTAAAACAGAACAAATCAACTCAGAACGGATTTTAAACAAGTGTATATGTATATGTATGTATATAGTCAAACCCAAAATTATTCATACCCCTGGCACATTCTGAAGCAATTTTTTTTTTTTTACCAGAAATTACATGGGCTTCTCATTATTTACAAAATACATCATTGTAGAAAAACAAATGTATTTCTCAGCTTTTATTTACCTTTGAACAAAAAGTGGCATTTCAAAAATTATTGAAACGTTGCAGGCCATACCCACACATACATTGATATTTTTAAAATTAATTTTAAAAAATCTCTGTCCACATGAAATTGCAAAAATGCTCTAGGATACATGTTAAGGGCATGCCGAACCAACAGGGGGCAATTTTATTTAATTTTTTTGCCACTTTTGTTAGAGAAGTAACGGAATGTTTGATTCATTTGGACAAATTATTCCACAGGTCACTGGAGACAGGTTTACACTACATAACAATGTATAAACATTAGCTGTTGATGTAAATGATCTATTTGCATGTGCCCTCCAGTCACCTTTTGGCTACAATGTGCTTGTTTACAGACGGCCCAACGCAAGATCAGGGAGATCGTTCAACAGGTCAAACAGCAAGAGCGGAAGCACCAGCAAATGCCGCAAACACCTTCTGAACAATCAAATTGATCAGCAGACGCCAGCAAGCAGCAGCTAATGAATGTAGCTCATGCAAGGACAAATCGAAAAAAATGTAAAAGAAAGAATTAAAGAGAAAGAAAGATTTAAAGAGATACTCAAAATGCGAATGAGACAGAGCAGGAAGCAGAGAGAGTGAGAAAAGATGATAAAGATGATCAGCAGTTAAAAACAACCAAAGAACCTTAAGCACAAAAACGTGTTTTTTGCGCATGAAAAACCCCCAAAAGTGATGATTGAAAGTGTTATCAGGTCAAAGAGATACCTGATATTTCTTTGAGCCCTTTTTAAAAAAGATGAAAAGACGAAAGACTATATGGAGGGTATGTGCACTGTGATTTGAGTACTGGATGTGATGATGGCACACTGTGGGTAGATCTCTACATGTGGATTGTGCCCAAAGTATACTTTGTCATATATGTGTTTGCTAGAATCTGCATACATTGCGTGTGATGCAGATTTCTTTGGATAACTGAGGTACTTTCATTTTTTAGTTCAATTTGAAAGTCTGGCTTGCATAGTTTTCATAGTTCCCTACCTAGTATAACCAATACAAATTCCAAATTTAGCTTTGTATTAGCCAAGATGTTTATACTTAGATTTTTATTATAGGCTTTTAAACACAAAATTGCTTGGTGGGTGGGCATTGCTAAAACTTTTGCTTTACAATTTGAGCTAAAGAAATATGGAACAAAGCAAAAACAGTACAGTTATATTAGGGAATAAAAAGGCATACATGCAACTATTTTAAGAGAGTACACAGACATCTATTATGCATTTCAGTGTCTTGTCTGTTGTATTCATTTACACTATCAAATGGAGAATTTTTTGAGTCTGTTGTTTTGGCTATGTGCACGCACATATGAAAAAAAATAAAGTGTACTTTGGGCTTTAGGTGTATCAATTAATGAACTTATATAATAAATTTCACAGCTATGTTAAAACAATCCTAAAATAAAAAAATATTCTAAAGATTTATTTAGCAAAATTTGCTTTTGTAATATATATATATATACACACCACAAGATAATCAGGCTAATTTAGCTGTGGCCTAAAAAATACGAGTAAGAGATTATTATGCAAAGTTAAACATTGTTGTTGTTAAACATTGATGTTGTTGTCGCACGTGTACTGAAGAGCGGTGTTGTCGCTCGCATTCTGATCAGCTGTGTTGTTGCGCGCTTACTGTAAAGCAGGGGGTGGGGAGCGCGCGTACTCAAGAGCGGTGTTGTCACGTGCCTATTGAAGGGCGGTGGGTGGGGGGCGGTGAGGGTTGGGGGTGTCGCGGGGGCACTTTTGATCATTTTGGAAGGGCACTTTCTATCCAAGACTAGAAAGGGCATGTGCACTGCACAGGTTGAGCCTGAGCCCTATGTGTGCACGTGCCTGGTGGCAACAGCGCAAATGTTTGTTTATTCATGTGTATTTTTCAAGTCTCAAGAGATTTTATGAGATTTAAAGTATTCACATTCGGGACTTTGTTACACCACAACACACATTATAGGAGCAAAACTCCTATAGTGAATTAAATTTTTATGTTTTTGGTCTTCATGTTTGTGGTGTTTACCATGTAGAAAATCTAATGTGCTTTGTAAAATCTTTAGTGTGTACTCAGCCAAATTATTACAAATATATCCTAGATACATTCAATGATATTATAGCATGTATGACGAAAGTAGAGCGCTAACATGTGTGCCAGCATTTGACTTCCAGATCCTCTTTTATACTGCTGAGTCTGAGCTTTTATCTCTGTTTGCTGTTCTGTTCTCTTTTTCTCGCTCTTATTTGTATTCATTTTTAAATGTTTCCCCAACACAAATCTTATTCCTCACACAACACGAGAGCTGTCTGTGTGCCAACTGCACATAAAAGCAGAATTACTGTACAGTTGCAAAGCACAAAAAAATGTGCATCATCTTTGGGAATCTAAATGTACTGTACACCCCACTTGTGATTTTACACGTAATCTTAATATTAACCGACTAGCATTCAGTTTAGAGTCAGTGAGTATAATGGAAATACTTTTTATTTGCATAAATCAAGTGACAGTAAAGGCATTTGAATATTACTAAATATATATAAATCTTTTACCAAATTAACTTTCTCATAAATTATAACACTGAAGTACTGCTAAAGGTTCAGCGTTGCTATCACATGAATAAATTGTATTTTAAATTAAAATTTATTCAGTGTTTCAGATTTAATCTGCAAATTTTACTGACCCCAAACAGCATTGTACACACTTGAAAAAGCAGAATTTGATGTGTAATCTGCAATGTGTCTGTAGGTCCTGTAATAGGAGCCCATGGAAGCCTTTTTAGGTCTACCTGACACTCATGAATGTACTGTATATGATGCTAATGCCTTCCGCAAGCATACTTTTTGTGGAGCAAATCAATATACCCCCCCCCCCCCTTTTTTTTTTCCTCCTATTGTTATGCGCTGAAATGAGTGCACTGTTTCTTTTGAAAGTTCTTTTTGAAACGTGACATCAGAAAATGACGGAGAAAATGTCTACAAACTATTATTATTATTTAAATTTTTATTTGTAAAAACATTTCTTTGATATATAATGACGATAAATTCAATAGGTAAAGAATAAAAATGACATCCTTAACCCTTGCATGTTGGAAAGGCCAATGGAATCAAATATAAATGTATATATGCTCAAAATACAGTTGACTGATCAAATGCAAACAACCAGCATTGCAGTTATGTACAGTTTAAACCTAATCATAGAGCATACTGTAAGATTGATATTAAGCATCCACGATTGAGATATGAAAATCATATTTTGAAAGTCCACACAGCTGTGTGTGAATCAGTACAATATAACGTTCTACCTCAAGAACAGGGTACCTCAGTCCGATCTTTTCTCCCTTTTGCATATTTTGTATACCTTGTAGAGCTCTCAAACTTAGAGCTTTTTTTATTTTTCTAAATAAAAGAACAAGAAAAAAAGAGTTAGCGCAAGGCACAAATAAGACCTGCTCGTTCTTGCAAAAAGAGGTTTCAGGCCGCTTCACGAGAAACTAATCGTTGCTTTATGGACCGTTTGGATCGAATGAACTCTGAGGTTAAAACAACTCTTGGGCAACTGAACATTTGGGTTGACAGTACTTCGTTTCTTGCAGTTTTATGTTTGTACTAAAATAATCGTCTCAACAAGTAGTCTTGTCTAAGAATACAGCTTAATCCAACTATACGCAGTGTTCTTCAGCCTGTATGGAGACATTTAGACAATGTTATCTTTATGTTACTGTTACAAATGGCTCTGTAGTTTATAATCTGTATTTCAAGGTCATGTCTGATGAAATGGCCACTAACACGTCAGCTTTGAATTTATTCTAACATCGTATTTGTGTGAGGTTTTAGTATAGGAATAATCTCCGACAGTTTAATATTAGTGTAATAACAGTAGGCACGATTGAATTTGATCTTTTCAATTTGGGTTTCTGTAGAAAAAAAATTGCTGTGTCAAACCGGATGGTGTCCGGCTGTCTCAAGACCATCTCTTCTCATATCATTTACAAAGACATCATGTAGATGAAACATAATCTTTGCTGTAGTACTTATCTGCAGCTGTTTCTGTGTCTGTTTCTCATGTCTTTCTAGACCACATATAATAAATCACTTTGGGTGTTAATGCTGATCTGACATCAGTTTTTGATATCGATTCATATAATGACATCATGTGAAGTCAATGAAGGGTAAACAAACTAATTTCAGACTTAGGGTGTTAGTTAAAAGTGGGAGGGTTAAGTGAATATTCATGAATACACTTGTCTGTTTTTATGTTTTTTGGAAGGTTCACAATACCTTCCTTATGGATTTGAGCAATAAAGAGTGTTTAAAACAACATCTAAATCAGTATATCAGTTCATTGGTGTCACTGATGACTCAAAAGCAAAACTTGTATACTATACAGGGAGATAAAAATTTTTTGAGTTGATGTCAGTCTGTATCTAGAGAGGGTCATATTGAACATCTATGAACTTGCTTTATACTGGAAAAAAAAAAAAAACTTTAAGTACTCCACATTAATTATTCAAGGTCCTATCATGTTTCTTTGATTAAATACAGATTTCCAAAGTTGTGGTATTCTTTTTGAATTACCTTGTAATTATACAGTTGGTCAAATTATACAGTTCCGGCCTGTGAAATTGTACTTATTTGTATAGTGTGCTGTAAATAAAGAGATTATTAAAACAGAAAAAAGCAACTAATAGTTAATAACTAAACAATTTTTATTCATTTATTCATATTCCTTCGACTTAGCCCTTTTATTCATCAGGGGTCGCCACAGCAGAATGAACCGCCAACTTATCCAGCATATGTTTTACACAGCAGATGCTCTTCTAGCTGCAATCTAGTACTGGGAAACATCCGACCAATTTAGTTCACATGTAGCGCATGTGTTTGGACTGTAGGGGGAAACCGGAGTACCCGAAGGTAACCCACATGAACATGGGGAGAACATGCAAGCTCTGCAAATAAATGCAAACTGATCCAGCCAGGACTCGAACCAGCGATCTGCTGTGACATTACAGTGCTAATCACTGAGCCACCATGTCTCCCTTTAAATAATTTTGTTGACAATAAATACATAATTTGTTTGATACATTATTTACAAGGTATTCAGCTTACATTGCAATTCAAAGTAAGCTAAATGATTTGTAAGCTGTGTGATCAACTAAACTGTAAGAAATAAAGGTACAGAAGTTGTCACTGGGTCAGTACCTTTTGAAAAGGTACATATTTGTACCCGAAGAGTTTATAATGGTACCTCAAAGATATTTTTTAGATACATTTGGGTATTATTAAGCACTTTTAAGGTGACTCTGTGGACTATTTGGGTACAAATATGTATCTTTTAAAAAGGTACTGTACCTTTATCTCTGAGAGTGTATAAGCTTCCTTACATTGAACTATGTGGAAATATTTCATTTGATTTTGCTGTGCAGCTGCCAAACTATAGTTTGTTTAGTTCAGCTGGATTGTATTTACTGTGTAAATGTTCCATGGACTTTAACAGATTTTTAAAATTAGCAGAAAATTTGTGAGATATGGCCCTGAACGTATAGTAGGTTA